CTAGATTTCTTGTAATTTCCATAAATAGTTCTGAATTGTTCTTACTATTTGTTGAGACATATACTAGGGTTTGTTTGACATTACATTGGGGGGGATTTCATAGTTGGTCCAGAGGTGTTTTTTCTGCTCGTTCAAAACTTTTGTTTATTAGTGTTGTGTGATAGCCTATTTTTTTTTTTTTTTTTTTCTTTTTTTCTTTTCTTTTCTTTTTTCTTTTCTTTTCTTTTCTTTTCTTTTCTTTTCTTTTCTTTTTTTTTTTTTTTTCTTTTTTTTTCTTTTTCTTTTCTTTCTTTTCTTTTTCTTTTCTTTCTTTTCTTTTTTTTCTTTTTTTTCTTTTTCTTTCTTTTCTCTTTTTCTTTCTTTTCTCTTTTTTTTCTTTTTCTCTTTTTCTTTCTTTTCTCTTTTTTTTTCTTTTTCTCTTTTCTTTTCTTTTTTTCTTTTTCTTTTCTTTTCTTTTCTTTTTCTTTTTTTTTTTCTTTCTTTTTCTTTTTTCTTTTTTTTTTTCTTTTCTTTTTTCTTTCTTTTTCTCTTTTTCTTTCTTTTTTTTTATTTTAGAGTTCTATGTAGTTCATCTAGGTGTGTTTTTTCTGAGGTGTTTGTCAATTACTATAGTACAAACTCTACGTGCTAGGGAATAGGGGATGAATTTTAGGCAGCTTTTCAGGTGATGGCTCTTGAAATGAGGATATTGTCAGGTGTCTGTAGGTTTGTGGTAGATATCTGTGATTATGTTGTCGTTTCTATTTGAAATGTGTATATCTAAAATTGGTAATTTGTTAAAATTATATTCTTGGGTGAATTTGATTTTGGGGTGTAAGTTCTGAAGTAGTGTGGAATTGGTCAATACCACCCCATGAGGATTTTCCAGAAAGTGAAGCAATCATCTAAGTATCATTTTCAGGATTTAGTCAAGTGGGTTTTTATATTTTCCCCATATATTTGTTCTGTCTGTTCATAGAGGTTTTCCTCAAGGTAAACTAATGTTAGGCTTGCATATGTAGGTGCCATTTTCATTCCTATTGCGGTACTTAGAGTTTGGATATAGTTTTTGTTGTCAAATTCAAAAATGTTTAGAATCAGGTCTATACTATCAATAATGAATTCCTTAGTGAATCTGGGATGTAGTATTTCTGGATGTTTTTCAATCCAGAATGAGATTACATTTTTACCTAGTTCATGGGGTATGTTGCTGTATAGGCTACTAATGTCAAAAGTTGCCATAATCGTTCCCGGATCTACTTTTTGTGGTATGGAGCTAAGGAAATGGATATCGTCTCTGATGTAGCTTTTAATTTGTTTAGTATATGGTTGCAATATTATGTCTATTAGGTTACTGAGTTTGCTAGTTGGACAGACTGGTCCTGCTACTATTGGTCTGAATGTAAGGTCACTGGGGTTTGGGATGCTAATGTATTCAGATTTTTGTGTCTGTATAACTGCTTTTATTTCACGTGATTTATGAATTTTAGGTAGTCTGTAGAAATTGCTTGTTTTTGGTACAAAGTTTATTAGGAAATCCTTCTCTTTTTTTTGTTAATATCTTGTTGTGTCATGCAGAGTTTTGTCATTTTTGATATAATATTTTTGTCTATGTTAGTGTCAATTCATTTGTAGTTGTTATTATCCCCTAGTGCTTCTAGAATTTTTGTTTTATAATATATTTTGTCCATGATCACTATAGCGCTGATTTTATCTGCTTCCTTTATAATTATGTTGTTATTTTTACGGATACTCTTTAAGTCTCGTCTTTGTATGTAAGGTTATTGAATGGTTTGGATTTTTTTTTTATTTTGTGATAAACCTATCTACGTTTACACTTACAAAGAACAAAATCAACCTATTAAAATTAGGCCTAAAATTCTGCCCTGCTCCGAAAAGCAATATAACAGACCTAAAAAAAAAAAAAAAGGACCTTAGAGAATTTGAACACAAACTCAGATTAAAAGAAATATTTAATAATAATGAAAACATTACAAATGAGTCATTAGTAAAAAATAAATCCAATTTCTTCCCAAACAAAAATACAAATGAATTAAACATTTTTTTTTTTTTAAAACTCTGGAACCTCAACCTACAAAAAAAAAATCCAAACCATCCAACAACCTTACATACAAAAGCAAGCCTTAGAGAGCATCTGTAAAAATGCCAACAGTCAAAAAAAATGAGATCAAGTCTCAGTACAAATAGAAAATGAACAATTAAACATTAAAAAAAAAACATAAGGAAATTTTATTTCTTTAAAATTTGCCTGAAGAAGGTCACAAAACCGGAAACCCATGTAGCAGAAATATGAATAAAATATAATATACAAACAAATCTACATTATGACCAAAAACGTTTGTGGTTTCTCTCTTTTTTAAATATATATATATATATATATATATATATATATATATAAAATGGATAAAAATTGTCTGAGAATACTGTAAAGTTGAAACCAAAGTAACAGAACCATCTGATCTTCTATTTTTTTTGAAGTGTGTATGTATATATATATATATATATATATACAGTATTTACATTAGTCGGACTATTGTCCTCATCTTTGTCACAACGTTTCGGCCTTCTTCAGGTGGTTGGAATTTCGAACTGAACCCTTTATTTCGATCGCTGGGGTAGACTGTTCTAATTCCACGTGCCATGTTTGATGGATGTCAGTTATCAGTTATCTCCTGCTAATTTTCCCTCTGAAAGTTCTCCACTGCCTTAACCAGGAATTGAACTCGCCTTCTTTGGGTCTGTCACTGGATCTAACCAACGCCTTTATCCACTGTGCCATGTGTCCTTGAGGATATATATATAAAACCCCCGGACTCTGTCTTCATTGACAATGTATGGTGAGCAAAGCAACTCAGTTCTTGGGACTCAACAGCCATTACTACTCACACATATTACTTGATTAAAGTGGTGAAGGTCTATATACAGATCACCCCCACACTCTTTTTGGAAGAGCCAAAGGAAAATACAGAGAATTGGTGCACACTGTGTGTGTGTCACAAGGCCTCCAAAAAAAACATGCCTCAGGTTTTTAATTCAGAGTTGTCCTTCTCCTATACCAGTTCCCAACCAAGGCTATAGGACTCGGTCTGCCCTGCTATTCAGCTGGAGGGTAGAAGAGATGGATTCATACCTTTCCCAAAATGTAACCACCTCTTTGAGCTCATGCCCAAAATGTTTTAAATATTTTTTTTTTCCTCTCCTCATATTGCAGACAGGAAAGGCACGAATTATTACAAGGGACACAAATTCCAGCCATGACCGAAACGGATCTGCAATTGATTTATTATGATTTCCATAAAGTGGCACTGCCATTTGTCAAGAACCTGCCAAACCTCTTTCCGTAAGTACCCTTCTTTTTTTTCTACCCTCTAAAAATAAGGGGTTACAGGATAGGTTAAAGCTTTCTGTCAGATAATTCTTAATTAACAATAGTTTCATAAACGAATTTGACCCACACACCTGGTATCATACCATAGAGCTATTACTAATGTACTTAGTCTGGCATAAGGCCATGCTTCTATGGTCACATCTGTTAAAGTCAAATTCTCAAGGCATGGGGATCAAGATCTGGAAACTGATTCCATAGTTCTGATTTCATGCTGCTTGCTTTCATGAAGGGGAAAATTTGAATTTGCGACATTTTGATTTGTTGAATAATTAACAAGAAATGGCCACCAAACAGAATTGACAAAGTTTGCAATAAACAATAACAAAAGAAAGAAAAGAATGGAACAATAGTAACGAGGTAAAAAGGTTCAGAAACCAAGACTCAAAAGTAGGTACCTCCCAATAATTCACTAAAAAATCTGTATAGCATAATGATAAAATGCCCCAAACTCAATAAAAACAAATTTTTATCATTAAAATGTTTATGTTATTATTAAGAGAAAAGAACAAAGTATTTTTTAATTATTTTAAAAAAGTTTTTTCCTTCTTTCTAAATTTGGGTCAAAAATCTCATTTTTTTTTTTCTTTTCTTTTTTTTTAATTAACTTTGTACTACTTGTGGTAATGGCCATTTTAGTATAGCAGTTTCCAAGGAAAAACCCATTAATTTGGAAATTCTTGCAAAAATGAAATAATTGTCTGATTTTAATAAAACCTCATCTTCATTGCTATATTCACAATGTTTTGATCATTGTCTATGTCTCTCTATATATCTGTCTATATCTCTGAGATAAGGTATTATGATTACTTACATTATTTACATTCAGACTTTTATCCTCATCTTCATTGCCATACTCACAACATTTCAGCCATTGTACACTCCAGCCTTCTTTAGGTGATTGGAATTTCGAACCGAATCACCTGAAGAAGGCCAGAGCGTACTATGGCCAAAACATTGTGAATATGGCAATGAAGATGAGGATAACAGTCCGAATAATGTAAATAATACAAGCAATCATAATACCTCATCTCAGAGATATAGACAGATTATAAATCTTTATTCCTCTCGAATTGGAACCAACACAATTCTTGATTCTGTTTCTTTTTCTTTTTTCTTCTTCTAGTCCAGTTTGCCAGACTCTAACTTTTTATTTGAGAATGGTATCATTTGTGATGGCTTACAGTTTTATGGAACCAATCAATCCAGCACTAGATCCATCAGATACTGAACAAGAAAAGGCCCCACCCATGCTGGTCCCCATGGCTGACATCCTGAACCATGTCTCAAAACACAATGCAGAACTTTCTTATGGTGCTACATACCTCAAAATGATTGCCATTAAAGACATAGAAAAGGTAAGAAGATACATTGGTGGGTGGGGAATGTGGCAATACTTACCTAATCATTCAGAGCCATTTCAAGGATCTTGGGCCCCCATGTCTACTACATTTCAATTTTCTGAAGGTAGAATTCATATGAAATACAAATTTTATTGTAACCTAATGATGTACAATAATGAATCGTATGCAATATAGGTGAGTAGAAAAATGGAAAATAAATATAATGTATCTAAATACAAATTAGAGACCTGTCATAATAGATTTTTCTGTCTTAAATAAATAAATTTTTTGCAGCAATTTTTAACATCAGCTTGAGATTTTTCTTGTTAAAAATTTTAATACATTCAACATTATGGTTAAAAAAAAATATAATGAATTTTATATCATGTTTTTTCAAGACTTAACATGAACAAAACAAATTCATGGATTTGGCTGGAAAAAAAACCCTCGGAATATCAAAATCCAAAAATTTTTCATCGTTTTAATAATCAGATGTGCTTAACTTAATTTGTAACGTATATAAATATAGTTAGAAAAACACTAATGTTGATAAGATAGAACCGATCACAAAGCACTGCCCTGGGACCCCTAATCAGCTCCACCTCACCCCTCAGTCAAGGGGTTTGGGCGTAGTATGCACCAGCCTTGCTGCCAGTCACCCATTTTTTTTCTTTTGTAAACCAGATAAATAATATCTTTCTATGCATGGCATCACTCAAAGAGAGCAAAATCTGTTTGAGTCTGTATTTGGTAATATTTTAAGCTCAAATATGTGAAATGTTGGTTCACTGTGTGATGGCATCAAGTCATAGTATTTGATACTCATAACATAAATAATACTTGAATATAAATAGTAGATAAATAAATGGCAGAATTTTTGGCACTGGAAGGTTGCCAACCATTTGGAATTCACAGGCATTTGGAAGCCGTGTACATTTGGAAGCCGTGTACATTTGGAAGCCGTGTACATTTGGAAGCCGTGTACATTTGGAAGCCTCAAATAGTTGCAGAATAAGGGCAGAAATGAGACGTTTCAAGGCAGGGTTGCAGCAAATGGTGAGAAGCCAGAAATGTTCAGTTGTTGCACTCTTTCTGTACAGACCCCAATTTGGCACGGTCAGATTTTTAGTTCCTTACCTGATGTTGAAAGAGGTGTTAAAAGTTTTTTTTTGTTTTTTGGTTTCTTTCTCTTTCTTCTTTCTTTTTCTTCTTTCTTCTTCTTCTTTTTCTTCTTCTTCTTTTCCCTTATAAAACCTTGCTTCAAATTATTATAACAAATGCTTTGTCAGGACCCACCTTACTTTGTGCAAAATTAATCACAGTCTTGCCTTAACAAAAAGCACGGCTATCTATTTTTCCCTTTTTAAAAAGTTTGAATTGGATTTTAAAAAATGTTTCTCTTTTTACAGGGTGAAGAGGTCTTCAACACGTACGGAATGCTGGACAACGCCCAGCTCCTCAACATGTATGGCTTTGCTGAACTTTTTCCTGCCAACATAAATGAGACGGTCAGTTGGTTTGCTTAATGTTGAAAGAATTTTTCAAGAATGTAAATTTTTTTTTTTTTTTTTTGTCTCTTACATATTCTGACCTCCTTCAAGTCACTCTCTCCTATAGTCGTTTTTAAAATATCTAAACATGGGGATAAGTGGGCAAGTGACATATTCACTTGGTTAGTGTTTTTCTGCTTGCACAGCATGGTACACAGATGCTACATTCTAATCCACAAAAGAAACTATTTCTGACAGAAATTATGCTAGTAAGTAAAACTTGGTCCAATTTTGTTTACAATGACTTGGGAGATTAATGTAGGCGAAGACTGTAGCACCAATCTTCCATGCAGATATAGCCAGCTTGTAAATCAGCATTTTAAATCCTGTCTTTTGCCCCTATTTGAACACTGACCCCTTGTGACAATGGAGGAATACACAACAATCTTACACTTGAAGCTATTTATATTTTTATTTTGTTCATATATTTAAACTCTACAAATGCTAGTAGCAGTTAGATGACCTTTATATAGGAGTTAGTGTGTCATAAAACCACATTCAGAATCAGAAACTTGGAGATGGGATTAAAGACTATGAGAATCTACTTGAAAATCCTTGTTTGGCACTATATGACCAATATATAGGAGTCGGTATGCCATAAAACTAGTGTGTATGTGTGCTAACAAAGATGTGTTGTATTTCTTTTGTTGCAGGTGACCATTCCAATACGGCTGTTGAAAGAAGTTGCTGAACAATTGGACGTCCACAAACAGAAACCAGATTTGTTGTTATGCAAATGGAATTACATGCAAAATTCTGTAAGATTTTTTTTATTTCTTTTTAACCTTTCTCTTTGTCCCTTTGACCTTTCTCAACTACTTCAGCTTTGTTTATGAATCTAAACAGTACAATACTAAATGCAATGAAAAGGAAATCTCTTGGATGTTTGTCACTTTCAATTTTCTTCAAATAAAAGTAATCTCTTATTAACCTCCCACCCAGAAATAATACACAAGTTCTACTTAGATTTAGTAGAGATCTCGGCAATTCTTCTTGAAAACCTATTCTGCTAAAAACCAGACACGTTTTGAGTTTTATGTCTAATGGTCTTTTTTTTTTTCTTCTAATATATAAATGTCCATTTGCAAATGTGGTTGTTGTATACTGCTGGTTTGACCAAAATTCATGTATTGACCTAAGCCAATATTTTTCAAACGTTTTTATCTCATGTCTCACTTTGAATATACAGTTAAACTTCAAAAACACGCTTAAATTATGAAAATCAAAGAGAGTAAAATTAAGTATATACTTTTTATGATATATTTATTATCAAAAACAAAACAATTTATTTGTAATAAAATGATAATTCAAATTCTTGTGTTTATTCTGTTTAATTTTTAATGTGACGTTTTTTAGAATATCTTTACAATGTCAAATTTTGGACAGGCTTACTCTAAAATCTTCTTCCAAAGATTCTAGCCATGATTGATTTTTGTTTTTAGTATTGTTTATTGTAGAAAAGCTTGCATTTTATATTATTCTATTGAGATGTACACTTGTTATGCTTTAGTTTTCTTTCAAAAATAATATAATTAATAACATTTCAAATACTTTTGTGGCATACCTATAATTCTCTCACAGTATGCTGGTTGAAAATTACTGTGAATTTAACAATTTTCGTTTTAAATTAAGTTTAAAATAACTCCAAAACTTTGTCAACTGAGGAAATCAATGTTTTTTTTTGTTTTGTTTTTTTTTTTTTCAAAATGCCAAAGAATCAGAGTTAAAATGAGAGGTTTCGTAACGTGAGGTTTTGAAGTTCTGCAGAGTTTGTGATTTGAAGAACTCAATTTTTGGGCCAAATCTGTCTTTTGGCCAGAATTGGACTTATTGCCCAAATCAGATTTAAAGTGTGGTTTTGAAGTTCCATGGAATGAATTGAGAAATTCAAAGCTATTTCTTCAAAATTATCTTTGCTGTTTTCTAAGCTGGACCAGAGGGTCCCTTTAGTTTTGGGTCAGAAGCCCAATTAGCCCTCCACAGAAGTTAGCTTTAAAAGTTTGCACAGAATGCAGCTTTTAAGCTAGTTTTAAATATTTTAACTTTTTTAATTTTTTTGTCTGACTTGCATTAAAGAACCAACAAATTTCTGAATAATGGCTGCAGTGTCTTGGAGACTGAAGTTGAAAGCTCAAAGGGATCAAAATAAATAATTTTTTTTTTTTTAACATTTTACTGGTCTTTTCCTTCTGCTACTAACAACTATTAATGAGAACAGGGTTTTTTTTTTTTTGTTTGTTTGTTTGTTTTATTTCAAAATTATGATGATTAAAGTTTTTTGGGGGGTTGGTTTTTGTACTTTGGTGAAAAGAAGTTTAGTCTGGAGATCTGTTGACAAGCATTTGGGGATTTCCTCTTTAAAGTTTTCTTCTGTAAATATTTTGCTTCTAAAAGTGATTCAATAAAAGACATCTTTATAATCTAACATTTTATGTGAAATTGGCATTTATTGAACTTTGTTTTATTACCATATAGAAAATTTGTTTAAAATATATTACACTATTGATGCTATAGTACCAAGAGTTTTTTTTTTTTTAGTAAAATACTTGAAAAGCTGATCTGTTGTAGGGAGAGAATTGATTAGGTAACCATCAAATGCATTGTATGAAATTGATCTCTCCACTTTATTTGGCCTAGAATAAAAGTGAGTGGGACATGTTAAATGTGGAGCCAATGCAACAGTTTTATGTTAACAAAAAAAGCTTATCGAATCCCTTTTTTTTTTTTTTTCTTTTTTTTTTTTTCCATACTCTTTCTCAGAATGTTGGAGATGAAACTGATGAATTTATTGTTGGAATGAAAGGCTTCCTCACACGATATGAAGTTTTAATCTGCTTAAAGGTAAGTCTTTTAAGTTTTGTGCTTAAAATGCAACCATAAAAACATCATTTATTTATTACCTTTATGACATTAAACTGGAAAGATTTTAAAATATTGATCAATCTCAGTGGATGTCCAATCAAGTTTGAAGTGTTGGTATCAAAAAAAAATTTGCAACAATAAAAAAATTTTTTAAAAAAAAGACAAAATATTTGAATATATTCCTGACAGTCTGTAGAATTTTGACAGATTTTATGCTTGTTCTCACAACAAAATTACATGCTCTCCATTTGGGAGTTTTCCGCTTGTTAAACAGCTTCCTGCAACATGCATTTGACATTTTTGACCCTAATGCTTGTAGAGAGCCTTCTCAAAGATCCACTCAACATGTTCAAACCTCTTAGCTATCGAGGACCCTCCCCAGCATCCATTTGGCATTTTTAAACTCTCTCCAACACCAACTTGATCTTTTGAAGCTTCCTACTTGTTGAGGGCTGTAGCGGGTTGGTATTTGTTTTTTTCGTCCTGCATCAGAAGATGGTAATGTCATCAGACCACAATAAATAACAAAAACTTGGTTGGAAAAATTAAGGGTCAATTTTTTTTTTTTTTTATTGACGCACATGTGTGCACAAAACTTGGAGGTAAGAGAGTGGTTGAATCTCCTTTTCTTAGGACCACTGCAAAAGTATCAAGAGAAAGATGATCTCCTTTCCAGAAGTAGTGACAGGACCCCCCACACACACACCTTTTTTCTTTTTGTGTCTATTTGCATTATGGGAAAATGAAATTATTTTTTTAATTATTTTGTTTCTTATTTTATTTTTTTTTAATTTTCATTCTCCCACAGGGCCTTTGCCAACATCTGCTTTGTATTTTTGTGTATTCTGCTCATTGAGGGCAAACATCTAGATATATGTCTTTACTAAGAAGCTATCTTAATGATTCTATTGGTTTCCGTGAATGAATATCTTCTTTTCAAACAATCTTGTCGCCTATTTGCTGTGACTGCAACAATCGCACAATACACAAGTTCACTCTAACATAGCTGCTGAGTAACTACACAATGGAGTATCTCTTTACACATCAACAACAAGCTTTTCCTCCTGGTCAGAGATGTTTTGTGGTCATATAAGTTTGGCAATCTTATGCCTGCATGGTCATTAGATGAGGCCAACACAATACCATTGTTCAAGTTAAATGTCATCACTAAGAAATTTACTTTGATCCAGATGTAAAATTCCCATTCTTTGTAAAAAAATTCACCACCTTCATTATCTACCTCTCTTCCGGAGGGCTTATCAGTTTATCATCGATGTTCAAACTAAATACTTCCTTATTCAAAAATTTTGCTCTACTTTACAAGCTAGTATGTCCCAACCAATTTGCAAATTATACACCATCATAACTACCCAAAGTCACATCAAGGCTCCAGAATTTATTACTCATGTCTATAATTATGATGCATGAAATCTTTGATTTTCACACCAAAATAAAAGAGCCTTTACTTTAAAAAAACATTCATTTAATCAAAATTTAAAATTGATCCTTAATATATATATATATATATATATATATATATATATATATATATATATATATATATATATATATATATATATATAAATTATAAATTAACTGATTTAAAATATGGTTTCTTTGCTACACAAGAATTACCATGTTTCAAAAGTCAAAGTTAAAAGCTTCAAATTTAATTATGATTAAATTAAAAGCATTATTTCTGTTTCATCTTCAGTCGAATTTTGGAATAACTTATTTTTACTATTTATGCTTTGTAAATTTACATTGAGCACTGTTTTGTAAAAATAAAAACACCAGATTATATATCTTACTGTTCTTTCTTTTTATTATAATATATATATTTACTTCTTTCTATTACAAGTGATGAGGCATTTTAGAAATAGGTTTTAGCTATTACAATGATTACAATTCATGTGGAATCCATTCATCCAGTTTCACTTTTTTTAAAAATCTAAATGATGTGAAGCATTTATCAGAAAAGAAAAAAAAAATGCCAAAATTTGTTTGAATGAGTTGAATTTTTTGTTCTAGTTTTGCTTTGTACACTTGTTCTGTATTGACCGTTATTTGTGGTGTTTGAAAGTAGTCAGTTAATTTTTTTCTTTCAAAATTAGTGCAAGAATCAAAAATTCCCTGTGTCAAGATGAAACTCTTCCTTCAGTCAATATTTTTAACCTTTTCTTCAACAGGTGACCAATCCTGTCCAAATCTCAAAAACAATGGTGATTTTTTTTTTTTTTTTTTTTCGAATCTTTGCGGTTATTGAGGACAATAATCATTTATCAGAAATGTCGATAATTCAAAACTCAAACCTCAGAAATTCTGTTTATTGCAAATTAAAATTTGATGTGATGGGTTTTGTGTAAATCAATGAAAAAATATTGTCCTGGTTTCTTTAAAAATTTTTTTGATTTTTCTTCTTGGCTGCTTTGTCACTATTTCTCACCCAGGGAGAATTTGTTCTTGCTATTGTTTTTGTCAGATTTTACACATGGAAGAAACTGCATTTAATGCTCAAAAAGACCAAGGTTTTGATGAAGATCTGGACATGTTCTTCTCAGACGATAATGAGGAAAATGAAGAAGAAAACAATAATGACGATGATGACGACGACGAACTGTTAAAATTTAGTAAGTAATTTAGACCCACCTGCCTTTCACCAGCCTATTCCTTCCCAACCAACCCCATTCCCACCTGCGTACCTTTCCTATTCCCTCATTAACCAAGAAAAAATCCACTCCTTAAGTTAGGAGGTTCTTCCCATATTTAGACAACAATCCACCGCCCACAGATTTTTGATAACTAGAACATTCAGGAACAAAGAAATTGTATACAATCTCTCAAGGGGAAAAAAAAAAAACAGATTTCTTTAAACATGCAATTGAGAAGTTTGAGCCCCACCATTGGGTTGTAGTTGATGAAAAAAAAAAAGTGATAATTACATTTTTCATAAATGATATCTAAATAAATTTAAGTTGTTTTCTAGTAAACCTACCTACTTCTTTTTGTGAACACCTTAATAATTAAACTCTTGAATGTGAGAGAGAAACCATCCAGCAATTTCACAAGCAAGCCCCACCATTGCAAAATGGGATGTCAGTTTTGCTGATTTTCTTTTTTCTTTTGCAGAACATTTGAAGAAGCTGGATGCTGCCTGGAGAAGGACACTCAGAATGTTTGTATTATTTTGGTTTTTCTTCTTTTTTTCCTTTTCCTCCTCTTCAATGCAGCATCAATAAGTCCACAGCTTCACATGTTGTTATTAACAGGATTTTGATCTGAAATTTTCACTGTATAATGTTCTATCTGTATTCACTAATCACTACTAAATTATATTGAGAAATAATATTTGTGTAAAATTCTTTAAATTATTTGTTTCCAGATTTGTTTACTTGTTTTGGATTTGTTAATACTACTGTTTTAAACCAGGAAGCAGTAGTATTAAAGTGTTCAATTCACGTGTGAAAAAAATAAAATAAAAGTAAAAATAACATGTAGAGCTTTTAACTTTAAAAATCAGGAGGTCAGTTAAATCTGCTACCTTCGTTTCAAACTAACGGTATCCAAAGGCAATTTTTATTAACTGACCTCTTAACACTTTTCTTTTCTTTTTTTTTTTTTTTTTTTTAAACTAATAAATGCTATATTGTTTTCAAAAATAAACGACGTTTGGTGTAATAGAAAGGGAGGAAGAGGATGTGAAAAAAGAGGAAGAAAGGGGAATAGAAAGAAAAGGGGGGGGGTATTATAAACGTATCGGTGGGGGAGGGGGTAATTAAAATGTACATTACTTTTTTATATTTATCCAGCCTCATTTCTGATACGTAAGCAAGGACTTAAAGATTTCATATTTCTGGTTCAAAAGCTTCTTTGGATCCAGAAATGTCATAATTGCTAATTTTGCAACTGCCAACACGAAAAAATTAGCAATTAGGATGTTAAACCCATGAGACTCGAGTTTGGCTCTAATCATGATTGATAGTCAAGTGGGGTATCGTCTTGATAATGTCAGCTTGGGGAGATTATCGCAGTAGGTGACACCATTGGGAAGTGCAAAAAAAAAAAAACAAAAAAAAAACCCACACACACATGCCGCAGGTTAACCAAAACCTTGTGAATTGTATAGACAGACCTGTTCAGAAACCGTCAGTGGTTGGGCTAGCACAAAGTCACAAGTCATTATGACCGAGGTTCTGATCATGTGGGATTATACATAGTATCTCAAAAACTCATTAAGATCTACTCAGCATAATGGCATGTATAAACCACAGGTTGGCTTTGTGGGTTTTCAAGAAACAGAAATGTCTGAACAGGCACCTGCAACAGGGATTAGCAATTATATACACATGCCTATTGCCATATTTATGTTTATCATTGAAATATTTTCAGCAAAGATTTTTATTTTATGGTTTTTAACTTTTACAAACATTTAATTTTTTATGTTTATTTTGAATTTCGTTCTTTTTCTTAATGAAATTTAATTAATGGTAATAATTTAAGGTATAAAATTTACCAATGGCCATTGTGCCATAAAACCACATTCAAAATCGGAACCTTAGAATCCTTGTTTGGCACTTCATGACCATTATATAGGAGTCAGTGTGCCATAAAACTACATTTAGAGTCTGAAGCTTGGTAACGAGGTTAAAATCTGAAAATCTAGTTGATAATCTCCGACCTTTATATAGGAATCAGTGTGCCATAAAAAATAGCCTGTTCCTAATGCTGCGGCCTGTTTTCTATTTTCAGTTGTGCGGAAAAATGTTTAGAGAGATACCGAACAAGCTTGGCTGAAGATACGAGGTTGTTAGACGAGGGACAAGTGAAAACAAGGATCAATCGTCAGCGATACGCATTCTACACAACATATTCACAGAAGAAACTGCTGCAAAGACTCATTCACTTCTGTAGAGAATAATTAAAACAAGAAAGAAAATTGCCATTTCTTCTCGTATTCATGCATTTTTGGATCTTTCTTAACAAAAACAAATCTGCAGTTGATATTCAAAGGAGAATTCTAACTGCAAACATTTTTTTTTTTTTTAAATTCTTTCGCAATCAAATGTTTCATTCATTTTGGTGGAATCTTTTCTTAGTTTATAAGTCTTTGAACTTTTTATTTTCTTTTTTTATGTTTTTTTTTTTTCCTCAACTCATGACCAAATTTCAAATTCTTATAATCATAACCATTTACAATATGTTTGCACTGGTGACAGGCCTACAAGAAGAAAATATGACAGGAATAGATTTGACTGTTTCGCCTTTGTTCAAGGCTAATGACTTTTAACAACTCTCTTTTCAAGATGTCATGTTCAGATGTGACATTCTATTTGTGTGTGGTTTTTTTTTTTTTTTGTTTCGAAGTAAGTCATACAATCCAAGTAATGAAATCATCTTAAATTCCCCAGGGAGTTGTGCACTGCAGCCAAATCAATTTTCAATGAATTTAAGTATTAATAGATATCTGCAGAAAACTTTTTTTTTATATATATATATATATATATATATATATATATATATATATATATATATATATATATATATATATATATAATGTATTAGTGATTTGGAGTGCATAATATCACATACATACATATATATTTATTATATATATAATAAAAAGAAATTTAATTAGGGGGCGGGGTCAAATATCTGTAAATTCATAGCAAATATGATGTGATTTCTTAAAATGTAAAAGAAAAAAATTTTTTTTTTTTTTTTTGCATTTTAAGAAATCGTATCGTATCGCATTGTATGAGAAGATTTACTTTGGCTTCTGTAACAGCTGGAGGAATCAATTTGCTATGAATTTACATAGATGCCTGCCCTTCTTCCCCATATAAGACTTTTTTTATTTTTTTATTACTACTATTGATTAAGCACTCAAGATTATGAATTTTAAAAAAAAAAAAAAGTGTTCCCATTTTAAGAAAGTATGTTATACGAGCATGATTGTTTTTTTTGCTTCTTCCGGTGGGGCGGAATTTGTAATGAATTTATACTGGGCTTCTTATTAATTTTTATAAAAATTGAATTTTTTTTTTTTCTTCTAAAATAATCCTAAACTGGAGTGTTTAATTTTTCATAATATGGGAAAAAATTTTCTGGTTGCCAATTGTAAAACTACCAAATCTTTTGATGATTTCAATTTTCTTCAGATGCACTTGTGGCTTCATGAATTCTGTGTCGTTCTCTATTTTCACATTGACTGAAAACTTTGCATTCTACAATAAATCCGGGTTTCTGTCCTTGATATATTAAAAATTATATAATTTTATAATTTATCCAATATATATATATATATATAGTATTTACTCAACAAATGTTCTTTAAGATAAATATTAATAACAAACATTTTGCATTGCTGAATTTTACTGATCAATTTTTCCAAATTACAAATGTTCCTTTTCAAATGAGGAGGGAATTCCAGCTGAAATTCATTTCAGAAGAAATATGGTCCAATCTTTCAACTTTAAGTTGTTATCAGACAAATTGTGAGGGTCATGATGCAGACAGAATGTTGTGACATGTTTTTAGTTCATTTGAAGATATAGACTCTTAAATTTTTTTTTTTTTTTATTCGTGGTTGTTTTTTTGTTGCCTTAGTATCGCTCCAAGAGTCATGTCTGTTTTTACATTTTGATTTTTGCTATTGTTTTGTTGTTTTTGAGTAGTGGTCTCAAACTATCCTGATGATGACTTAAGAAAGTCAAAAGCTTAGACCATATTTCTTCTGAAATGAACAATTCCTGACATAATTTCCTCCTTGTCTGAGAAGAATCATTCATAATTTGTAAAAGTTGAGCAGCAAAATTAACACAAAATGCGTGTTGTGTGTTTCTCTCTACTTGCATCAGGTGAGATGATAGTTCAGTTAATATTCAGGCATTAGCAAAAGGCTGATTTTTATTGTCTGACATAAGTACAAGAATTTTCTAGAAAGTATTACATTCTAAAATGCATTGGAATATTCAGTGCTTGTAACCTGGTACCATGTTTTTTTTTTTTAAACAGAAATTTATAAGCTAACTGCAAAAAAAAAAAAAATTAAATTTTCATTTTGTATAAAGGCTCATGTTTCAGGCACTCAAATTCACGGCAGATTTTGGGAATCAAATTTATGATTGCTTTGTGATGTAATCCTTAGTTCACCAATGCTCTTAAGTATTACTTCATGGCAGGGAAATTTTTTTATGATTTATTTAATTAAAATGTTTCCACAACTTTTGCAGTGAACCAAAGAAAACAAAAATTTTTATTTAATAATGGTTCCCAATGCACAAAAGTAGTGATGCTGCTGACAATATGTGGCAAAAATGGGGTTAAAAGTTGATAGATTTAAATTTAAGAAGAAAAAAAAATAATGTTGAGGTTTGCTTAGATGTTCAACATGAACATGCCTATCTTCCCTCCTCTTCTCCTTATTTACAGTAAGAAAAAATCTCCCCTCACTTTTCCAATGATGTAATTTACTGGTTTTGTAGTAAATGCCATAGATTCAATATGGAGGTTCTCCAAGCTGATTTTTTTTTTTTTTACATGCAATTCATTTAAGCTGCCACAAGGAACTGGAGATGTTTTTGTTTAGTTGTATTCTGTTGGCTTAGAATTTGTACTTGTGACATTTTCATCAAAAAAAAAAAAAAAATTAGAATTTCAAAAACAAATGAAGAGTACGACTGCAGCAAACCCAGAATCCACTCTGAGATAAAGTCAGCAGCTTATTAAAAAAAAAAAAAAAAAAAAAAAAAAGGGACGTATCATTGTGACAACTGCTTAAGTCATCATCTATCATGATTACTTCCCAATTTCTGCAATTGACCCCCTTCCTCCTACACCTAAACTCAAGAAAAAATTTACAGTTTAGAGGTAGAGAAAAAAATGGACAGGGTTTTTTTTTTTTTTTAAATAACTAAGTTATATTTTTCTTTCAAGGATTTTGATAAGTTCATGAGTTTTCTGAAAATTTACTTGGGTCAGTCTGTATTGAGTCAACCACTGATTTTCTTTTTACAGCTTAACAACCTTTTGCTGGTTATTTTAAAGCCAGAAAATATTTTTTTTAGAGGCTAAGATTTTTTTTTTTTTAATACTAATGATTTACTAATATTGATATTAGTAATTAAGCCATAACATAGATTGAATTGATACTTTTCTCAAGGTTTATTAGTACATTTAAGTAAATATAACAAACTTGACTCTTCGCTTTTCATTTCAAAGCCATTATTCATTACACTACCCACACATCCAAGCTTATAGCACCTGGTATTCCCAAGTGGTCACCCATCTAAGTACTGACCAAACTTAATGTTGCTTAACTTCAGTGATCTTACAAGAATCTGTGTTTCAATGTGGCCATCACAAGCTGAGTAGATCATGGAGAAATAAACCAAACCATAATGCAAGGGTCAGCAACCTGCAGGCCAAATCTGGCCCGCAAAGACATTTTGACTGGCCCACGAGCCTGATTACCAATGACTGTTTTTAACATGACAGATCTGCCAGTTATCTTTCATGAGACTTATTTTACCAAGTTGCGTTGCCTACGTTTAATGTCAAATAATGGATACATATTTGTTACGACCCTTGGCTACATTAAAAGAGAAGTGAAAGAGGCCAGGGAGGGACTGTAATGTGAGGTAGCAGAAATCTAAAGACAGTTAAACATACATGCATTATATATACATGCCTCATGAATGTGTGGATGATACTGCATGTGTACATGTGCTTCGTTTATGTTTGATGTGTGTGGTTCGTTTGTAGAACAATTTTCAATAACAATTTCAAACCTACACGTCATAATTTCATCCATTTCACTTCGGTTGATTTTTTTCACTTTGAAGTATTTTGACGTTCCTTGAGGAAAAGTAATTTTTGTTGGGTGTTTTTTAATTTTAGATTTTCATTATGGTTTTAAATATTTAGGTTGACAGGGGTCTGCATATGTAATTTTCCTTAATGGCCTTCGTCCGGCCCACGGGGTCGAATGAGTTGCCGACCCCTGCCATAATGGATGAAATTTTGTTTGGTAAAGTTGAAAGTAACCATCTGTGACAAGGTTACGGTTCATATGAGAGTGAAGTGACATCTGTCAATTTTGGCAACTTTATTTTTATTAGGGTAAATAAGTCATAGGTAGGCAAGTAGGTAGGTGCATTGGAAATTATATATATATATATATATATATATATATATTAAAAAGATTAATTCACTTGTCACATTTAGTCAAGCAGCAGAGAGAGGGGAGTCATAGGCAAATGAAAAGAGAGAGAAACAGCAAATGGAGACATATGTAACACCTTCGTTGTGGACAGCCTGGGATGAATCCTGATTTGATGAATGGAGTGAATCTCTTTGACCTGCCCTACCCAACGTGACCCTTTCATGTGTGGTGAATGTATATACTGTATTTTCCAGCTTACAAGATGAACCTTTTTTTCCTGAAAAATATGTGTGTGTCTTCCAAGACAAATGTAAGGCAACATGTCTGATCAAGTAAGCTTAGACGGCCACCTAATTGGCTTGACTGACAGGGACGTAGATTTGTATGTTAAGTCATTACACTATAATGTTAGCTATCTAACTCAGCTTTTTATATGATGCAACCTCAGTAGTTAGCCGTTACAAGTATTTCCAAGACTATAAACCTTCCTGGAGCTGAGCCACAAGTTTAAACATGCTCTGTTTACTATCTGTGGCAGGAGTCTTTCTGCTCTTACCTAGGATGAATTTGCCATACAACCAAAATCGGACAAGTGATTAATGTGAGGGATGGATTATGAATGTGTTGTTAGATGAGAATGACTTTTTTTTTTCTCTCCTCTCAGAAATTTCTTTCTAATATTAAGGTGCGTCTTCCAAGCCACAGCATCTTGTAAGCTGGAAAATAATTCATGTTTATGATATTAAATTTTAATGAAAAATGATTTCAGATTATGAACAAAGCTGTGTGTCATACCATGTTTCAATATTTTTAAGAGAGTCATCACTTTTCTATTTGAGAAAAGTCATCAGAGCAGATTTTAAGAAAAATCAACATTGCACTGAGTGTAAAAGCCAGGGTTTGATGTGATAAGTACTGACACCAAAAATTAGATTCATAGATCTTACCAATTTCTGAGCATTTAGTCTGTTAATTTCTATACATTTTTGAGACGGTCTTTGAAGATCATGTCGAAAAAAAATACACAGAAATACCTCATTTTTGCAGGTTTTTGCTCACAAACTGATTTCAAAATGACTTTTAAACTCTTAAAAACGAAAGGAAGAAGAAGGGAAGGACTACAAAGTAAGAAAGAGAAAAAATATGTACGAGGGTCATTCAATAAATAAGGTGAATTTTTCGGTATAAGGACTTCTAATACAGATAGAAGTTTAATTTTTTTTTGTTTTACTTTTTCACATGGATTTAATTTCTTTTTCAGATTATAAAAAAAAAAAAAAAAAAAAACAGAACAGTTTTGGCGATTAACATTAAGATGGCCGACCAAGAAGCATTCTCCAGGATTGAACAGCAGTCAGTTATCAAGTTTTTGGTTGCTGAAGGGTGCAAACCAGTTGAAATTCATAGGAGAATGTCAACTGTGTATGGTGCTATGTTTCAGCCAAAAAAATGTCTACAAGTGGGCTAAATTGTTTAAAGAAGGACGGAGCAGTGTTGAGGATGAAGACAGGCCTGGGATGCCTACAGAAGTGAGGTCTCCTGAGGTGATCGAATCAGTCAATGACCTCATTCAGTCTGACAGAAGAACTACTGTGAGCTGCTGAGGCAGATCAAGAAAGACATAAAGAACAAATGCAGGGGGTCATCAGTCAGAAGGAGTCATTTTGCATCATGACAACGCAAGGCCTCACACAGCAGCCCAAACGGTGCAGACCATCAACGAGCTGGGCTGGGAACTGCTCCCTCATCCCCCTTACAGCCCAGACCTTGCCCCTTCAGATTTTCACCTGTTTGGTCCCTTGAAAGCATTCACGAGAGGCACGAAGTTTAAAAGTGACAATGAAGTCAAAAGTGTTGTGAGCGACTGGCTGAGACATCAGTCCAAAGATTTTTACGCTGAGGGAATACGGAAGCTTGTGTACAGATGGGAAAAGTGGGTGACAGTGCTGGGAGATGACGTTGAAAAAAAATTTTTAAAAAAAGTAAGCTTCTATCTGTATTAGAAGTCCTTATACCGAAAAAAATCACCTTATTTATTGAATGACCCTCATAATTTATCTATTTCTTCCTTTTCATTTTATCTTCAAACCCTTTGGTGTTAACAAACCTCAGAAGATTAATCTCTTACGGGGAGAAATGGCCGTACAAATGGGGTATTGAATTTCATTCATACGTAATTTATCTATATATGCTCTTTAATAAATACAGTGAGCTCTCTTTGTGGATCAGGTTTAATATTTTGTATTATTAGGATTCACTTACCCATATATATATATATATATAATTTAAAATATGTTTTTTTTTTCGCTATACAGTTCTAACCATGTTTCAAAAATGGAAGCTAAAAGCCCTGAATTTAATTTTGTGATTAAATTAAAGACATTAGTTCCATTTCATCCTCAAACGAAATTTAGAGTAACTTTAAAATTACTGGGCTTTAAATACAGAGCTAAAACAAAATTCATGTTTCCAAGGTTGCAGATAAATCTATTTTTCTAGACAGGGGTGGCTGGGTTTTCAATATGTCTATAATTTAATGTATCAGTTATTGCTACGTTTGTTTGGGTCGTGGGAAGGGATGTATTTTTCAATGAAATCTAACTTTTGTTAAAAGCCCGTCTAGATTTTTTTTAAATTTTATTGTTAACGGTTAAAATTCTTACGGCATTTTTTTTTTCTTTCGTATATTTAAAGACTTTTGCGGGGGGGGTGTTTAGGTAAGAATATATTTTATTTAAGTACGATTTGAAATATTTTTACTTTTAATTGTTAATATATTTCTTTCAAGAACAATTAAATGTAATTATAATCCCTTACCACCACCACCAGTTGTGCATCGTATTGGTAATGTGGTATTTTCCTAAATTTAGTTATTTTGTAACAAACCAAAAAAAAAAAAAAGACATCTTTTTAAAGATTGAATAAAAAAAAATTATTTTCAATAACATGGCTGAAAAATCACAAATTGTCAATAATAAATCTTCCAAGCAATGCCAGGTATCCTTGCTTGTTAATGATTTTATTAGTCACTAGTGGATGGTATTAGTAAGTAATAGAGACTAGGCCTAGGCTCTATGATATTTGGGTCAATCACAAATTTCAATCCAACCAGAGTGCAATGGAAGGGCATTGCTGTAGAAGAATTTGGTGTGAATTTTAATAATTTCTTTTTTATTTTGGGGTGAATTTAAACAAAAGATCAGCAGCGTTTCTGTTTCTAATTCTTCCACACCCTGTCTTAAACCCTCCTTGTGTTTGTGTCTGAATGGCTTTTTATGTTTGTTTTTTTAATGTCTTGCGGGGTGTTGTATTACTATTAATAATTAGTCTACTAAAAAAAAAAAAAAAAAAAAAAATGTACCCTACTCTTTCTGCCCAGAGATTAAAATGGAGGCTCCTTTATTTCCCTAACAAAATTCAGTAGAAAATACCAACTGTTTCAGAATTAATTAATTAGCTGATTAATTATTAATAGTAATAATATTATTATCATTAGCATTCATAATGGATAGCAGCTCAGATTGAGAAATCGGAGAGTCGAGTTTGAATTCCAGTCGAATCCATTACATTCACTTACGTGCTAATACCCTTGGGAAAGGTGTGAATCCTCTTCTCCCTCCAGCTATGGGTAAATAGTACAAGACAGACTGGGTTCTATAGCCTTGGATGGCAACTGGTCTATGAGAAGGACAACTGAATTCAAAACCAGTGGACCAAACCCCAGCTATGGGTTAAATAGTTCCACTGCCTTGTGGAAATCTTCGGGAGAAGAAAAGGCCAAGGAGTAAACCCTACACAAATCCGGAGTGGAGCCCCTAGGCGGATGGACGGCACTCTGGGCTGCCTTCCGGCAACTCCTGCAGCCGTGCTGGTACCAAACTGTATTGGTTCATCCTTCCCTTTGGACTCTGCTAGCAAGGCCGAGAGGGGGAACTAGACGTCCGGGCAGCCCTAGTTCGCCATACATCCCGCTCAGGTTTGTGGTGCACTGCGCTACTACATTGTCTCCCAAGGCGAACAGATGCCAGATCATTCATTCATTAACATCATCATATTATTAACAAGAGTCAGTTGCAGTTGACGAATTTCATTCATTTTTAAAGCTAAAAAACGATAGAGTAGTCGTTCAATTATTTTCTCACCCCACACCAAACGTCAGGGTTACAATAATGTAGTGATTTGGTAATAAGAATGGAT